GGGTTCAAGGAGACAGAAGCAGAGATAGAAAAGGCAACTGTTAAAGGCGGCCCCGTCCAGGAAACACACAGCCAGGCAGACGAGCTCTGGGCCAGTTCACATGTCAGAGGACGAACAGAGCACATCCAGCCAGTCACACCCAGAGAAACAGGACTACACTGGAAAACTATAATAACAGGGAGTGTTATAATTGCTCTCCTCCTGTTGTTCTCTTAGATCACTTAACTCTTACTAGAAATGTTGTCTCCATCCAAACATCTTAACTCCAGATATCACTTTCTGATTCAAATATCCTGTCTTCTTCTGAGGTTCTTGTAAAATGTATAGGATATCCAAACTTGCTGAAGGGGCAGAAAAAACTCTAAGATTTTTCTGGATCTGATGAGCGCTGGATAAGATGTTGTCTGGAGTCTCTTCTGGTCTCAGGAGCTTCAGGAACATAAGAGTCTCATTGATGAACCAATAACTTCCAGAAAGGAACCTGTTGCATTCTGATCCAAGGCACTATGGTCTAATCTGTCTCCTTTGTGTCTCTGCAGGAAACGTCTCGCTCCTCGCTGGCAGAGCTCCTCCTCTCTGACCTCCTGCAGATGGAGAACGAAGCTCTAGAGGAGGATGGGTTTACTCTCCCCGAAGGAGAACCAGAGGACATCCGTTTGGACCTGGAGCGGGCTGCCAGCAGCGGGCCGCTGCTCGCACCCCGAGAGAGAAAGGCTGGATGCAAGAACTTCTTCTGGAAGACCTTCACGTCCTGCTGAGCCTTCATCGCCCTCCTCCACCCCTCCTCTTCTTGATGCTGTACAGAAGCTGATCTCTGGTCAGCTGGGTGAAATGTTCCGATCTTTCTGAGCTGATTCTTTCTGAATGTAAACACCATGAAACTATTTTTAATTGTTGGTTTGAATAAAATCTGTTTGAGAAAAACTTTCTGTGTCTGCTGAGAGAGACAAGGAGAGAGTTGGAGAAGATTTGAGTGGCCATCAGAGGAAAATAGAGGCGTGATATCTGGCAGTAACCAAAGCGTCCTACAGCATGTGAGGTGGAAGTCAGCAGACTCACAGGTTGATTCCTGAACCAGCATGTGGGTCCAGCAGGTGTTCCATAAACCAGCTGAGGCCTCTCACTAATGTAAAGGCTCTGGTGACCCAGTGGTCAAAAGGTTCCCCTCCATGTTAGAGAGCAGAGGTGAGGAATTGACCTACATTCAAGACAATCTGGGTCTAAGCCACAAAAGACCTAATGCTGGGATGCAGGATAGAAAGGACCTGATAGGACAGACTAAGAAGTATTCAGCAAACAAACAGGCAATGTGATGCGCTAAACAATTTAGGGTTGGACATCTATGAAATATCAGGGGACATAAAGACACAACACAAAAAAAGAAAAGCAATATCACTGTAAAACCTAGAATTAAACCAGACAGTTGGACCAAATACATATTGACATTTTACCCCTGTTCATATTAGAACCCCAAATTAAAATTGGAATTTTTATCCCATGTTATGCTGATGATATTCCACTTTATTTGTCCATAAATCCCGATAAAACAGTAGTTATATAGCCTGCAGGTATGTCTTAAAGAAATATGGTCTGCTTTTAAATTCAAATGAGACAGAATTTGTTGTTATTGGATCGTTGGTTAGTCAGACACTTCATCTGGACAGCATTAAATTGGTCTGTATTAATTTGCCTCCAACGCTCACAGGAGATATGGTTTTGTAATGGCGGTGTCTTTCTGAAGGAAGAAGGAAGTCAGGAAAATGTGGGTCAATCACAAACAGTTTTATAATCGCAATAGTCAGCCTTTATATGTTTTTCTGAACTCTATGACCATATGTCACACATAAGCATTATGTTTACTAACATAAGCTCAGAATAATTGTTCATTTCTTTCAAAATCTTGGGTTATATCTTTGGGGCCAAACAATTCCAGGGGCATCTTTGCAAAGCATGCATCCTCTGTGTGGTGCAGTGGACCCTGGCCTCCGTAATGCTCCTGGTTAAAGCTTTTGTCCATTTGCAGCAGGGGTCAGTGCATCAGTATGCTCTGCTGCTGAAGATTCTCAGTCATTTAAAAAAAAGGCAAAGCACTCGACTTTGTTTCCAAGTTTGAAGGTTTTTCGTTTCCCATCCAGAAAGTTTTTTCAATCCAAAATGTCAGGAATGGCAGTGAGTTCGAGGTTTTATACAGTAGCCCAACAAAACCTTGTTATTCTTTTGAAAACAAAACGGACGAACGGGTCCACCCCTTTGGAATGGGCGTCGTTTGGCTTCTTTTGTTAGCCTGCAATGCCCCATACCCGTCTAATCAGCTCAGTATGGTCCTTCAGTTCATTCTGCTCTGGCCACTGATAGGACATTTGCTTAATTCTGCTTACCGGGAAACTGATCTTTGGAGACTCAGCACTTTAAAAAGAGTCTATCTAACCAAATCTTAATCTTGTTTTAATATTTATATACTAAGCAAGAGTAGATTATGTTAGAATAATAAACTGCTTTGAGAAGATTCTACTCAAAATAAGTGCAATAATCTTCGAGTGCATTAAGACAATTCCACTTGGTAAGACCTCTTCAAACCATGACATATATTCTCAATAAGGAGTAAAAGATTGTAAGACTTGGTTAAATGAACAAATTTTGCATTGAGGCAACATGCAGCACAATCTTTCAATAATGCTGCTTCTGTTGAAAACATCAGTCAGTTCATCCTACTGTATTCTTACCGATATGGAGAGAGAGGTAACGGCACTTCCTGCACACACAATTACCAAAGCGGCAGCGGTTTCTTTTTCTGTCGCTGTGTGACGCCGCACTTTATCTAACATCTTAAACTGCTGTTGAAGCGCTCTTTCATTCTGAAGGCAGTCGTAATTAAAGTTTTTCAATTAACAAATCTCCAGGGAGAAATGATGGAAATGAAACTCCTGCCTGCAGGTTAAACAAGTAAAGTTTCAAATTAATGGAGCCTTATTCAGAAAACAGGGTTTCAGCAGACAGCCAACATTAAAGGGTGGGCAAGGTCTGCAGCGAGAGAAGTCGTTTGAATGTTGAAATTGCTGTCAAGATGTACAAAGAGCAGGGTCAAAATTATGGGCAGAAGCTTGTGCAGTCAGAAACTGAAATCCCCTATTTCCCCTGAAAAAGGTGGTTCTTTAACATCTCAGCCTTTGGCCCCAAAAAGTCAATATGGAGTGAAGTAATTTTATTAATTTTTAAATAAATACATTTTAATGATATATATATATATCATATAATTAATTCTTTAATAATGTTATATAGATTTTTAAAGAGGCATTTATACTTTTTATTGTGTATTTAATCATTTAATTTCTTTCACAGTTTGACTCATGTATTAATTTAAGTAGGCAAATGTTATATCTACTTCATCAAACATCTCCTTCTCTCATGATCTATTTTGGCCCTCCATATACCCAAGGTGATAATAGTAAAAAACATCTTATGACCTCCCCACTTGGGGATCCCCTGGATTTTGAACTAAATTTTAGAAATCTGAAACGGTATTTAATGCTGTGAAACAAAATAAAAACCGTATTCAATTAATATAAAATTAAGTTTGACTAATTTCAGTTTTAGTTCAAAAATTCAATTTCTAAAGCTCAAATGGTTTGTACCAAACATCTTGATCCTTGAGAAAGCCCAGAACAATCAATCACAGATTCATATCATGTCATCCTGAGCTATCTCTACATTTATGCTGCTATAGGCTTAGACTGCTGAAGGACATAGGGACCCCTATTTCATCATTCTATCTCTATTTTCCCACTCTGCAGAATGTGTCAGTTCAATCTCTGACGTTCTGCTCTCTCTGCTTTTTCTCATAGTAGCTTCATCTGATCTGTTCCTGTTTGGCTGTGACTCCATCCTGGAGAGAAACATCAGCTGTGCTGCTGCCATCAACACCTTTGTTTATAGATGTTGGAGATCGGCCTGTTTTTCAGTGTAGTCCTGTTTCTCTAACTGTGACTGGCTGGATGTGCTCTCTTCATCCTCTGACATGGGAGTTGGCTCGGACCTCGTCTGCCTGGCTGAGTGTTTCCTGAAAGGGGCCGCCTTTTACAGCTGCTTTTTGTATCTCTGCTTCTGTCTCCTTGAACCCCAGTCGGCCTCAGCAGATGGCCGCTCACACTGAGCCTGGTTCTGCTGGAGGTTTCTTCCTGTTAAAAGGGAGTTTTTCCTCTCCACTGTCGCTACAAGCATGCTTTGTGTGAGGGATTGCATTCAAGTCAATAAGTCGAAGAAATCAACTTGTTTTCCTTAGAAAGCTTTGAATTAATTTGGCTGTATGATCTGGTGACTGTAAAGTGCCTTCAGATGACGTGTTGTGAATTGGCGCTATATAAATAAACTGAATTGAATTGAATTAATGGCATATATTGGTATTAAATGTGTCACATGTACAAGAAGAGTCAAGAAAACAAATGTCCCTGCATGTCACCGGCGTCTATACAGGCCAATAGGGGTTTTTGTTCTATCCAGTAATAATAGCTGCTTCTTTATGCATTAGGAATGAGTTTGCACAGGCTGAAAGCTCCTGTAGCACACTATACTAATCCAGCATCTTAAGCTAATAACAACAGTTTGGTAATGGTTGTTAATCGATATGAATACTTATGCGTCCTCATGTGCTCTTGACACGTCATCAGCCTCAGCCCCTACATTGTTCCAATTGCCAGAAACACAAGACCGAGAACAGAAAAAAAAATCCCAAAAAATGATTCTCACCACGCCCTCTTTGCCATACATGCATTAAAGCAGACATTTGCGGTCTTCACTGACCCAAAAAGCCACATTCTTGGTAACCACTCCACTCCGCTTCCGACTGCCTTCACAAAGCAACGCCTACAGACTCTGCACTTCCTCCCATCTGAGTTCCTTATATATCAAACTACTCGTGTGTCTGATATATTGGGCCCTGTGGTATTCTATTTACACATCTAACGTGCTAAACATGATCGTCAGGGGTAGTTTAAGAGCGTCCTATGAAGCAAAGCTGCTTATTGGACTACTTCTTGCCTGTGTAGACTTTTGTCAGAAGTTTCATTTTACTTTTAATGGAATAATAAATCCAAGGCGGTGACAGAGAGTGAAATGAATGCAAGTGGTGAATGTGAATTTTTCTCCTACATGACGTGTAGCATGATCTAAGAAGAACTTGTTCATACAAACAGTTCTTGCATGAGGCCCATTGAGACAGGATCTTTTTTTAAAGACGGTAGCTGATAAACTCTCCTCTGGAAAACTGATAGAAACGGAAACGGGCACATCTCCCGCAGAACAGCATTTCTAACAGTTCCCATTCAGAGGTGTACCACAGGGATGTGTCATTTCCCCGTTACATTGTATACTAATGAGTGTGAGTGCATGCTTAACTTCATCTTCACGTTTCCTGATGAAACAGAAACCCTCAGCCACAAGGATGACAGTTCAGCCTATCCCTTAAAAAAGCAGCTTTGTTCACTGGGGTGGACACCAAAGCTTTTTCATGAATGTTAGAGTAGAAATGATGCTTGTTCTGTTAGGCTGCCGGTGACCATACTACACTGATTGGTGGGGCTCTTTCACAGATGAGATGTTTCCTGAAACAAGAATATTAACAGTCTGTGTGGAATTTTATTATCATATATTTATGTACTGAATCATGTACAAAATAAAAATGACAATTTGATCTTTTTATCTAGAAAGGCCCTAATGTTTCATTGTAGTTTTGTTTATTATTATTTGATAATTTGGCCAATTCCCCAGTTTATTAGAAATATACATTGCTGTTTCTTTTTTCATTTTATGAATATTGGCCTTTTTTGGCTTGCACTTCTCCAGAAATGTTTTGTCGGACATCATACAATAATCAGAGAAAG